CGCCTCCACGTCCGGTAAGTCGCAAGCCCGATGCCCGAGGCACGGCTGTTTCGCGTGAGAGCACGCAAGGAGTGCACGTGACATGGGCCAGCCCCAATCTCCAGAGAGTTGAGTCAGACACTTCAACTTTGAATCAACAACGGATAGCACAACAACATACTCCATCGCTTGATGAGTGCTTGCATGCTATCTTGTCAAAGGCTGCCAGTCATCATTCGGTCTTTCACTGGCACATCTCTAGCCGCGAGAGGCTATGCAGAGGTATGACTGTCATTTCTAGGCCGCATGTCCAGTCTCTTGAGCCAAGACGGCGAAGCAGCTCTCCAGTATATCGGCAGCAGTATCGACCTGCGCCAGCGATACCGTCAAGCTTGGGACTATCCTAACGGCATCCGATCCAGCGCTGAGCACAATCAAGCCGCGCTCTCTAGCCAGCTTGACGATCCTGCCAGCATGAGAAGGGTCCTTTGTGCTCAGACCGATCAACAAGCCCTTGCCTCTGGGTGACTCGTACGCGCCCTCTTCGTGTCGGATTAATTCAGGAAAGAGGTCTCGCAATTCCGTCAATCGTGCCTTGAGCTTGTCCGAAGCTGCTTTGGCACTCTTGACCAGGGCAGGGTCGGACAGCCGCCCCAGAACGTGATGGGCTATCCTGCTGGTCAGAGGGCCACCTCCAAATGTTGTTCCGTGATCCCCAACGGTAATGCTATCCGCAACCGACTTGCGCATCAGAACCGCTCCGATGGGAAAGCCGTTTGCAAGAGGTTTGGCCATGGTGATGAGATCGGGATGAGCGTTGGTCGGAAAGTTGGAGTGACACCACAAGGATCCGGATCTCCAAAGACCGCATTGGATCTCGTCAAAGATGAGCAGAGCCTTGACTTCGTCGCATCTCTTTCTGAGAGCTTGGAGCCACTCGAGCTTGGCGGGAAAGATGCCTCCCTCGCCTTGCACCGGCTCCACAATAACGCCTGCCGTCTTATCGTCGATCAGCTCGTGAAGACCTTCAAAGGAGTTGTAGTGACCGGTCTTTACATCTCCGAGAAGGGGGGCGAATGGTGCTTGATATTTTGGGTTGGGCGTCATGGCTAGCGCTCCCATCGTACGACCATGAAAGGCGTTGTTGAAGCTGACTAGACCGGATTTGGTTGCCGGCTTGCCGGAATGCGACATGCCATGCTTTCGAGCGAATTTGAGCGCGGCTACATACGACAAGAGGAGCAGCGTTAAGCAGCGCCGAGAGGATAACAAAGTCCGGTTGAAGTGGTGGATAGCGGCGCGCGAGAACTCACCTTCGTTCGCCTCCGTACCGCTATTGGCCAAGAACACCTTCAAGTCTCCCTCTGAGCTTCCTCGCTCGATGCCCAGTCCGCCATGCTCTCTCGTCAGCTTGACCATCCTATCCGCCAGCTCCCCACTCCACTCGTTGTGATACAAGTTGCTGCTGTGGACCAATCTATTGGCTTGTTCGGCCGCAACCTGGGCGATTTGCGAATCAGCATGGCCCAAAGAGTTGACAGCGATGCCGGAACTAAAGTCCAGATAATGCCGCTCTCCTCTT